AACGAGATTAGGAGCGCTCCAACCGAGAATTGATGTTGAAAACAACGCCTCAGTGCTGATGAGGGACATCACACTACCAGCTACCAAAGTTCTGCCTACAGATCACTGTCCTAGCCATACCTATCGGCTGATCGTCTACCTGCTAACGACAAACACCTTGCAGGGACTCTACCTGTCCTACCGCCAACCGATTCCCAGCACAGGTAGGTAGTGTTTTTTTATACATATATATATCATTTTAGTCAATATATCACTTACACAAGAAAGTCATATCTACTTTATATCATTATATATGTATATATGTATATATATATATGTATATATGTATATACAGGGTTGAAAATACTTTTCTAACATCGGTGATCCTGCAGGATCACCGATGTTATTATATGGATCCTGCAAACATTTTGGTGATCTGCCGAAACGCATACGTTATAATTATTTATACATTGCAATATGTTCCTGTTTTACAAGCGTATACAGTAAACCAGGCAAAAAAGATAGAAACAGCACAATCAGGAAATTAGAATTTGATTTATTTCTTATCTCTTTCTGCAGTCTGAGTCTGAGTGTTGCACAGACAGTTCTAAATATTAATAAGTGCATCATCGTCATCTACGTAATCTTCGGCCTGTCTGTTCTCATCATCATCTTCAACAGTGGCAGGTTTAGTGGAAAGATGCAGGCCCATACGGTTTGACAAAAGGTGACAAGATTTTTCGGTGATCCAGTCGGATCACCGATGTTTTATTTTTCATGATCACGGTGCTTGATCCGAAGCTGAAAAGCCGTCGGATCACCGATCCGGCGAGTTATTTTCAACCCTGCTTACCTACTATATATTACACTACTATATATATATATACCTACCTATATATATATATATATATATATATGTATATATGAGAAGTATATGTCATCTCTACTGATGTGCAAAGAATTCTTAAAAGGGCAATGAAAAACATGATCAAGGTGCCCCAAATTTTGTAAAAATCTAAAAGATAATCCATCAGCACGCCCCCCCCCCCACCCCGTTTCAGGGCACACGAATGCCGCAGACTGCCCCGAACTGCAGCTGCTGCGACAGCGCACGCCACGCGATGGACAGATCGGGAACTACGCGACGATTTTCCCGACGAACGACGCGTCGGCGTTCGATCGGCGTCGCCGCGACGACGGATCCGTGGTTCCGAACGTCGTTCACTACATCTGGTTCGAGCGCGACGAGAGAGACTGCCGCCAGGACACGAGTCTGTATCGCGTCATCGGGCCGATCAGCATGTATGAGAACGTGCGGCCCGAGCGCATGATACTGCACACAAACTGCAGGAAGCTGGACGGACCGTGGTGGCGAGAGCTATTCATTGGGCAGAATACACTGCTGCATTTTTTTTAAATGAGAAAAAGCAGGGAAATTATCAGGACGACGTATTATCAGGAGTGTATAATATAGAGATATTATATACATATACACATATATAATATAGAGATATTATATATATATATATATATTATATAGAGATTATAGTAAACTCTATATTATACACTCCTGGTACTATCACATTGTCATTACAAATTTACTGAGCGCGGGGGGGATCGTTATCATCATCAACGTTGCCGCGCGTAAACCGGCGAACCCGCCCACCCACGACGCGTCTGCTCGTCCGCTACAGGTGCGCCACCTGGACTACGTGAGCCACGTCTTCGGCCGCCCGCTCTACAACACGATGCACGCCTCCGACGTCGCCCGCATGCGCATCCTCATCCAACATGGCGGCATCTACGCCGACCTCGACGTCGTGGCGCTGCGACCGCTCGACGCGCTGCGCAAACAAGCGTGCGTGCTCGCCGTCGAGTCGGGCGGCGACAACGCGGGCGTCGTCAACGCCGGGCTCATCCTCGCCGCGCCGAACTCGACGTTCGTACGCCGCTGGTACGACAGCTATCGTAACTACAGCGCGGGGAGCGTTCGCCGCGGAGGCTGGCTCGTGCACTCGGGCGCCGTGCCGACCGCGATGGCGCGGGACGACCCGGCGGCGGTGCACGTCGAGCCGCGCATACTCCACGAGGCGAGCGGAGCCGTGTTCGCGCCGCGACACATGAACCTGAGCGACGTCTACGCCGTGCACATGTGGCTCCACCTGTGGCCGCTGTACAGCGTCGAGGTCGGCAAGACGATGAGCATCTGCGACTCGCTGCGCATGAACAACACGTATGGAGATTTCGCGCGCCGCTTCTACCTCGACCGACACTGGAGCGCTAACTCCACGCTGACGTGAACACTCACAACGTCTCCACATAATATCAGGATTCAGGAGTGTCATAATATATCTAGATATATAATATAGTATATATAAGATACTACTCAGTCTCTATATATAATATACTAATAAATTTTTTTTATATATATATATATATATATAATATAGTAATCTAGATATTTAATATCAAGAGATAATAAGTTAACTCCTGTTAATTTCGCACGGGTAAAATAATGACAAATTTCATTATTAACCCCAGACTATAGAGTATAGTGCTATACACTATCGCTATACACTATACCTAACAATTTGCTATTAACGTAAATTGCGCTTCACTCATGCAGACAACGTTGGTGTACAAGCATATAAAATATAAGAATGTGATACGCATCACGGTCTTTCGCTTTTTTGTTTGAACGAAATCGAGCCTGCCCAGCTGCAAACAGGTTTAATATGATAATTTCAGAAATCAAACTTTAAGTTCAATGCCGCAGAACAAGAAGCTGAAACACCTGTTTAGCTCGACCCACCTACTCAGATATTCCTGTGTCGAAGGCGTGCTGGTGCTCTATAGCTCATCAATGTTCATTTATGCTTAAGCCTAAGATAAAATATTGCTTGTTTCCCCTTACCCTGGACCCCCCTAGATTGGCTTCGCGCCTATGGCGCTTGCAGCAACAAATCCAAAAGACCTTAGCAGAGAGTATCAGAACAAGCAACTCCCACGCTACTGCTAATCTGCGCAGTGAACGAAAACCCGCAACAATGGCGGAAGAGTTTAGCACTGAAGAATACACAGATGACATAGACAAGAACATCCAAGACTATGATATAGATGAGGACAATGACTACTATGAGATAGAAGAGGATATTGAAGACTATTAGCTAGATGAAGACTATGAGATAGATGAGAATGAAGACTATGAGATAGATGAGGATGCTGACGACTATGAGATAGATAAAGATGATGATGACTATGAGATAGAAGAGGACAATGAAGATTAGAGCTATATGAGGACAATGCAGACTATGAGATAGATGAGGACATTGAAGACTATGATTGAGCTAGATGAGAATGAAGACTATGAGATAGATCAGGATGATGACGACTATGAAATAGAAGAGGATATTGAAGACTAGAGCTATATGAGGACAATGTAGACTATAAGATAGATGAGGACATTGAAGACTATGAGCTAGATAAGAATGAAGACTATGAGCTAGATGAAGACTATGAGATAGATCAGGATGATGACGACTATGAGATAGATCAGGATGATGACGACTATGAAATAGAAGAGGATATTGAAGACTAGAGCTATATGAGGACAATGCAGACTATGAGATAGATGAGGACATTGGAGACTATAAGATAGACGAGGACAATGCATATTGACCTACCTACCTGAGAGTGATAATTACACTCCCAAGCTTGTATACTGTTTCTAGGGCGGTCAAGCTGCACTGCCTCTCTCTATCACAACCCATGTTTATTTCTATTTTTTTAAACATCATGCTGAATTTACAGGAGCAGCCACTAGCTCTAGCTAAAAAAGTACCGCCCATGTCATAGAGACAATATTTATTAGGGTGACTGCTGTAAAATAAAACCAACATGGCTTGTTTGAAAGTATCATACGTTTGTTGTTGTATTAATCTTTTCAATCTTTCATGTTCCAAGCCATAGAACACCTGAGAGTACATTTTCCAAAGCACTACACACATTAGTCATATGATCTGCTAATAGTAATCTCTATATATAAGTAAGTAAAGTAACAGTTCAATTAAGCTTACTTTAGGATCCATGCCTTAATAATAATGGGCTCAGGATTAAGTTAGGATTAGAGTTAGGGCTAGGATTAATGGTTATGCCATGGTATGGATAGGTGATGGCGATGATAAATTATGTGTCAAGGTTCGAAAATAGGCTTGCAGTTGCACATAAGTAAACCCTAATTTTTGTCTTACCTGCAGCCTACCAAGTTCTATGTAGTTTAACACCATTCTGATGGCTTCAAACAGATCCTGGAGCCATGTGTCCAACCCTGGCATACTGCCAAAAAAAAACAAGATATAACATTGTTTATAAAACATTGCCCGCCGCAACAAATACAAGTGAAGTGGAAGAAAGCCTGAGTCAGTGTGTAGCAGCAATCCTATGGCGATGTGGTAGAACCAGAATTAGGGTTATAGTCGTGATGACTTAGGATAATATTAGATCATAATTACAGACAGCAGTGGCGGATCTACGGGGGGGGGAGGGGTCAACTGCCCCGGACCCCCCTAGCAAGGCGTGCCTTCGGCACGTTGGTGTGTGTAGGCCAATCACCTCAGGTAAACCCCCCCTTAGTTAAAACCTAGATCCGACCCTGGATAGGATGATCATGATGTTTATTGACAATCAATGTCAATGTCAATGACATTGACAGTGTCCGGAGTCGGGGCTAGTACACGATCAAGCAAACGAGTTTGAGTTCGTTCGTGAAAAACTCGTGCAGTCGTGGTACTCAATGTTAGTTGCGAGTATTTGAACCTCAACCTTACTGCAATGGTTACATACATACGCTTAACGGAGGACTGGATATTTGTGAAATAAAGCGAGAACAATGAGTTATCAATATTAATAACTTGCAAAATATACCTGTTTCAGGAATCTGTTGCGCTGTTTAAAACTCCTGGCGCAGGTGTCGCTGTGGTAGCTTTCCTGTTATCTTAGCCAGTTAGAATTCATTTCCGGTTCTCTAAACCAATCGTGCCAGCGATCGTTTTGAGCGGACATTTGGAAACTTTCGTAAGTCTATTTATAATCTGAAACGATATTTATTTGTGATATTTGTCTATTATTATCCGATATTCATTGTTTTACCTATTCACAAACTATGTCATTGTATTAGCCGTGGACGTTATTGAAGTAGATCTCCTCGCTATCCAGCTGACCACTTGTATCTTGTATCTTGTATCTTGGGGTTCCTCTCTTCAGACTTGTATTTCACAAGGCACGTACTCTCTCCTTGAACCACGGCGAACCTCAGACCACGATGAATGAGCAAAAGTTGAGCACAGCCACCCTGGCTACTGTTACAACATATCGTCAGCTTGCAACCGATCCTGTCAAGAGGGCTGCCCTAATCAAGGTGCTTGGACGTTGATTATTACTTAATAATATTAATAATACACATTTATGATTTAAATCATATCTACGAATGTTCATCCATAAATATTGTCATTATTGAGTATTTTGGCTGCTGAAATTTGAAAAGTTTAAAGATACACAAGTCACAACCCTGACAACGAATATTATATAAATTTCGAATTATAATTAATTTTAAAAATGAACCAATATTTTTTTTCACATATTACATAATGGACATCTGCAGCATAACATGCAGTGTCTAAGTCATTAAGCTATAGCAGCTGCCATTCTTCAGTGTTACCTTCTTTGAAGCTGTTTTAGCATATTGCTCAGGTGTGGTATATTATTATATACGCAGTGGCTACGCGTCCGGAACCGGTCGCCTAGCCTCCAGGCTACACATCCGGACATCCACTCACACAGTGATCGCGCGACTCGCGTACACGCATGATTGCGCAACGGGACGCTCTGCTGATTGCCGAAAATATACAATATATGCACTGCTGCCGTCTATCTTTTCATCCGTCCTCTCTCTCTACCTTAATCTTAGAAAACCTCAGCCCTCACGGCGGATACTCTACCTTAGTTTCGTGGACGTTGCACACTCTTCGTTGAGCCAGCCTACGTCGGTGAGAGGTGCGATGGAGGGTTTAGCATCCTCACTACACGTGCCACTGTAGGTGGAGAGCGAGTCGAGAGACTCCATGCTGCCGAATGCTCGCACGCGCTCCGGGTTGTACCGATATTCCGTCATCGACAGCAGCTGCAGCGAAAAACATCGAAACAACGTTGACGAAGGGCAACCATGTCACTACTGCCATCTGGTGAGAACTCTAACCAACTTAATGCAGATTGACAGAGACGGCTCGATCGACTGACAAAGTTGTTGCGAACTTGAATTAGTAATATATTAACTTAATTTTAGTAATAGTAACTTAAAATATTAATTTACTTGAATACAAACTCTTAAAAGGAAAACCGGTCAGAGGGGAAAAGCTTTCTGGCGATGTACATGCTAGTTTCGCTTCTCAGCCCGCCTCTCATTTCTTAGTGCCTCCCTCCCCACCTTCACCGTGGATACTCATCTATCTCGTAAGTCATTGCCCTCACGTTGCATCACTCGTTACTAGCCAGTAATAACTACATACCGGGAGGTAGACTCTCCGGCCAGCCTGGATGGGAAGATGGGAGGCCAGCTTCCTTATGAAGCTGCGATTGCTTCCGAACACCAGCATCTCATCATCCCACGGGAGATGCGCCTGGCAACGAAAAACAGCGAAGTCGTGAAGCTCATGTAGGCACAGAATGAATGTAATATAAGCACAGAATGAATGTAATATAATTGTAAGCATAGACTGCATGTAATGTAGGCACAGAACGAATGTAATTTATAGGACAGAACAGCATGTAATGTAGGCACAGAACGAATGTCATGTAAGCACAGAACTAATGTAATGTACAGGACAGAACAGCATGTAATGTAAAACACAGAATGAATGCAATGTAAAACACAGAATGAATGTAATGTAAAACACAGAATGAA